ACAAAGTCTCTTTAGGCCCCTTGGCTGTCCTAGAACTCACCCCAGTCCTGGCTTTGTGTACACAAACTTTTAAACTATTGTTGAGATTCAGTAACATTGAAATTAGCATCCATCAGAAATCATACTACTGGATAAAAACAGAAAAAGGTTCTGGTAAGGCTCAAATACAGCCCAAACTGGCCTTGAACTCATGATTTTCTGCCTTAGCCTTCAATGTTCTGGGATTAGAGATATATACAGATTAATTTTTGACAAAAAAGAGTTTGATTATAGATGAACAAAAACTAAACTTCTCAATATTGGCTAATCTTAATTTTATTAGAACACAAACATCTTAAAATAATAGCAAGTATTAATTAATTTAGAGCAGCCTAACAGACATGTATGTGGACACATATGTGCATGCATGCACACACACACACACACACACACACACACACACACACACCATACAGCTTGTAGCATCCGTGTCGCTAAAGCCTACTTTAAAAAGCAGAACTAAAATGAGAACACCCGAGATTAAATGAGCAGTGACCCTCTTTTCTGACATCCACTTACATGGTGCTTGTTTCTATATTTAGAAATTCATTCCAGGTCTCTTGATTATTTTAACTTTTTAAAGATGTCAAATGATGCTGGTTTTTCCCCTTTTCAAGCTCATTTAGCTAATACACAATAAATTGATCTGGACAAGTTCATATAAGGAATCCATGCATTTTCATAAATAACGGACATTTTTAGGAGCTATAAAAATATTTTCATTTCTTTTAGGTGGATTAAAAATCAGTCTAGCCATTTAAAATGGTAATGCAATGTATTCTGTAGAAATAACAAAAAAATACTCTATCTGTCCTTGTGTTTTCATAGATATCATATAATTTTAGGTGTCATTTTTATAAAACCTCATAAACCTACAAGATTCTGTTTACCTGCCAGCTTTGTCCGGATGTGAGTCACAAACGTGTCAAGAAAAATCTAATAATCTTTATTAGCGTGTATTAATATTCTAATAGCAGCTTAAGGAAGAGAGAAAAGGAGCTGCTTTCAACGGATTGGACTGTTTTAACGTGGTGTTTCAAATCAGCGATACATTGTGCCTGTTGTAACGGCTTTACACTTAGAACAGCTATAACGTGAAAAGCGAGCCTTATGGGCATCAATCAACCAGCAACATCTGCTGTGTTTGCTCTTTTAAAACTTTCCCTTCCTCCCTCCCTCCTTCCCCCTCTCCCTTCCTTCTCCCAGGCTAGCCTCAAGCTTGCTATGTAGCCTAAGCTGGCTTTGAACTCCTTATCCTCCTGTCTCAGGCTTCTAACAGCTGAGAGTGTAAGTGGCATCATACCCTTGAGATAACTTCATGCTGCTATATCTCAATCTGGTCTGACCTCCACATAGGGAATTCAGTAACTAGACACCTACCCACGAATGTCAGCTGACTTCAAGAGTCCCCAAACCAGCCCCTTCTGCAGAACGGTAGCCAGGGTGGCTCTGGACTCTAACACGGGCCTCTCACTTCCCACCGTTCTCTGTCACAGCTGCATACATTGGATGAAACTGAAAATCACTCCATGGGGAATGGCTTTGAATAGCACGGCTTATTATTTCTGGAAAGTGCTTAAAGTGACTATTAACAGTAATTACCAAAAGGAAGCAAAGCTTCCCTCTTGCAAAAGACGTGATATTTCTCACAGTTCTGCGCCTTGCTGTCTCACCAACATTAATTACCCTACCGTGGGAATTCTTAAACAGCAATGACCTACTTGGCTATCATGCCTCCCTGTCTTGCATTTATTGTACTTTCACTGTTTGATTTTACTTTGGTTTACTGTTTCCTGAGACAGGGCCCGGTTAGTTTAGGCTCATGTCGGAATTCTGCCTTAGCTTCCTTCCCAAGTGCTGATTGAGTGACAGATGTTTAGCCCCGCCCCCTGCTCTTACCGCCTCCACCTTTCTCTTCCCCATTTTGTACATTCAGTTGCCCTGTACAGTCATTCTCCAGTTGACCTTAGTTGCACGAGACAGTCATGTTTGAAGTGGTGTCTTCATTGTATAAAATACTGGCTTTGGTAGTCTTCTGGAAAGTCTTTCTCGGGCGGTAGTGGGGGTGGGGGCAGGCGTGGGGTGTGTGTGTGGGGGAGTGATTTCCAATACAGAAGAGTCCATCCAAAAATCCTTCCAAGTTGGAAACCTTGACTTTGGAAGGGGGGAGGTTAATATCTAAAGAGTTAGAAGAGATAAAAAGAAAAAATACAATATGCAGCAGAATTTGGATTCATATTAAAATTGATACATAAAATTTCTAAGTTGCAAAGATTGCCAGTATCCAGCCTGTCCTCATCTTCAGTCTTGACTTCTTGGTTAGAATTTGAGATATAATCCAGATCTGGAGGCTATACACACACACACACACACACACACACACACACACACACACACACACATACACACAGAGGGATACACACAACATCTTGCGTTTAATCTTTTTTTAATTTTTTTGGTTTTTCGAGACAGGGTTTCTCTGTGTATCCCTGGCTGTCCTGGAACTCACTCTGTAGACCAGGCTGGCCTCGAACTCAGAAATCCACCTGCCTCTGCCTCCCAAGTGCTGGGACTAAAGGCCTGCGCCACCACCGCCTGGCTCTTAATCCTTTATTCTTGATCTTTGCTCCTAGGGAAATAAGTCACGTAACTGCCCCATCCACCCATTTACCTTCTCTTAATATCCACTTCTCAGAATGACATGACCTGAAAGTCTGTTTCCTTAAACACATCTGCAAAAACATAAACTCATATGAAGATAGTAAAGAAGCCGCAAGTAGGGAGGAAATGTCTGTCGTGTTTAAACCAATAAAGGTTCCACGATGCTTAAAGTCTCCATGTAAATCGGTGAGAACACAAACTAACTAACCAAACGAAAGGGTAGGAGAAGGAGACCGGTGGATGTGTATTGAAGAAGAAACAACAATGGCCAATATGCTTTTAAAAAGATAGCCAGTCTCATTGGTAAACTAGGGACTTCAAAGCACATCCACAGTGAAATGCCACACCCACAAGGCTGACAGAACTTCACTCCCGGTTGATGGGAGTCCTAGTATAACCATTTGAAAGACAATGTACAATAGAGTTGAACTAGGTCATCCCCTTTGAGGTAGTTATTCCAGCCCTAGGTAGACACCTCAGAAAACTCTCACATGTGTACCTCAGGAGCACTTGTGAGAGCATTCAGAGCAGATCAGCTCAAGTCATGCGTGCATTTCCTTTGACGTTCCTGGCACTGAGGGGAGGGGGTAAAGACAGCACTGGGTGGGAAACCCATACCACCCACACTGGCTGCTGAGACCTGGGATCTCTCAGAGACCTCTTGGAGACATGAGGCACAACTTTCTTTTCTCCGGACCCCCGACCCATCCGTAGGTCCCTTAAATCCAGTGGACCACTTGGATTAATCCATTTATTACTGCCTTGGGAGTAAATCAAAACGCAAGGCATCTTCGATCAATGTGTTCTCACCCATCAGCCCCTTACAATCCTGCCTTTCTCGTTTGTTTATTATGTAAAATCAACTTACAAATAGTAGCGGTATTCTTTTATCTGATCATCAGGGTTGTATTCCTACTACTGTCTATATTTCCAGTAACAACCCATTCTCCCTGAAACTGCACAGCTATTGGGAATGATTTGGGGGTACTTTACCAAAGATTAATTACCTTTAGGGGAAGGTCCTCCTACTAAATGATGATCCCCTTAAAGGACCTGTCTTGCGTATAGTGGGTCACACATTCAAGCCAGATGCCAGGAAACCCAGTTGAGGGAAAAAAAAAACCTGTGCCTGTGCTCCTTCCCAGGCTAAGTGTGACTAGGTTGTTCACTCTGTATTTTACAAAAGCTTTTCTTTCTTTCTTTCCCTCTCTCTTTCTTTCTTTTCTCTTCCTTTTTTAAAAGAAATTTTACACTGCAAATATGTCATGAATATTAAATGAAATTGCACGAGAAACTCCATGGCTACATGACCCCTAAATGCCACTTTAAAAAACAGCAATGTGCTTCTGTCCTTTCAACCGAGCTCCTCGCCTTTCCAAAAGAGGTTAAGCAAGATCAGTTGCCCTTTTTTTTTTCCTGCAGAAGGAAATTAGAATTGCATTTCTCAGTGTCCTGTTAAGAGGCTGATTCCTGGAGTATGAGAAAAGCGGAAGTGAGATTCCAAAGAAAATTAAAGAGAAGAGCATCCTTCGGGCAGAATGGCCACCTGAGCCTGGGGTGGCCGCAGACAAGCCAGCCTTCTAACCTCTGCGACTGCACCCAAGCCCTGCTCTACCCTGACCACCATTTTACCGCTTCTCCAGGAATGGTTTCAGACTTTGCAGGTGTTTGGGGGTTTGGATGGCATCATCTTCACTCACATCATGATGGAAGTAACATCACTCTGATGCCCTGGGCATTGTGCATTGAGCAGGAGCTCACCCAGGGAAGGAAAAGAAGGGCGCTTGGACAGCAAGAGGATTCCTGGCTGGGGGAGCTACAGACCGACCAGGAGACTTGCACAAATGGGCTGGCTGGGTATACTGTGGTATCCCAGGCGACACAGGGGAGAGTGTGGCCACCTCTGCCAACTTGACCACCTTGATCTCAGGCTCTGAAGGCAGACATCCCCTCTGGCTCCCACCAAGTCCTTCCACAGATGGGAGTGGACCGCTGTGGTTTAATTCCATTTTCCAGCTCAGAGCCAACTGCGTGGTGCCCTGAGTCAGACACCCGGCCAGGGAGCGCGTGGCCTGCGGGGGCGGCAGCAGGTCTGGGTGACGCCAGGGAGCCAGGGGCGGTGAGGTCACGCCAGCCCAGCCCACGTGTGCGCCAGATTTAAAAGTTGGTGGCGCGCAGAGATGGTCACTTTGGTGTCTGAGCTCAGCAAGAGGCGCACCGGTGAGGCTGAGGGACAGCTAGAACACCCGCACAACACCGGGTACCTGGTCTGCAATCCAGAGCCGCTTGGAGGTAAGGAGATGTCGCGAGCAGCAGGTCGCCGCCCAGGGCTGTCCGCAGGACAATTGGCCGCTGCAACCGCATCTCCTCTCCTGTCTCTGCTGCTGCTGCTCGCCTGCTGTGCGTACACTTGCAGAGGTAAGATACCAGCCCCTACCTCAGGACCCCTCAGGCTGCCGCTGCACTGGTTTCTCTCCTCTACCTTCCTTGCCTCTTCTCTGCGCTTCTAGAATCTGCTTCCCACTGAAGCCAGGATCTGGCCCAGGACTGAAGCCGCCTGGGGAAGGTGCAGGGCGGGCTGCAGACTCCATAGGGGGAGTCTAAAAAAATGAAAACACTTCCCCTTTCATTTCAGTCATTGGACAGACTGATGGTTGAAACAAAAATCTGCTGCTCCCCTTGCCAACGCAAGGTAAAGTTGCGCTGCGCCGCGCCTCCTGGGAGGCCGGCTAGTTACAAAGTGGAGGAGAGACCCAGGCTAACAGGTTTTCAGAATTAGAGAGTTCTCATCACAGAAAGTTGAAGTGAGCATACAACGCTTATCCAGGTTTCCAGTGATGGGCACTTAAAGCTGGCAAGGCAGGCGGGATCTGATGACAACGGGGACCTCTTGAATGTGGCTCCCAGAAAACAGGAAAAGCAAGACCAGGGAGGGAGGTCTGAAGCCCGGGATGAGTGGCAGAGCAAAATGTGTCCCTTGAAGCTGTAAAGAACGTTTAGTTACCAGGTAACCGGGGGAGGGGGGGTTGTCATTCATTCCTGCTTTCTGAGGGTCCTTTAAGTTCCAAACACTGCCTTGTTACAAATATGAATTCTCCAGGTGCTTCCCAGGTCAGTAGGCTGTTCATTTTTCAGAAATGTTGACGATTTAAACATCTCAGACGCAGAGCATTGTGGGAGCTCATAGATGAGCCCTCAATTAGAGCTGGACAGAGACCAGCATTCTTTCCCTGGCTCGTCTTTGTTGCCTTCATTTCATTATTTTAATTTTTGTTCCTGAGACATTGAGGGAAAACAGCCTCCCTCATCTGAAAGCCTGTTCAAATGGGACAGAGGGAGGGACAGTGTGATAGCTCATCTAATAAAGGTGCCTGCTACCAAGCATGAAGACCAAAGTTCAAGGCTAGGCGTGGTGCAATACACCTTTAATTCCAGCACAAGGAAGGCAGAGGAAGACGGATCCCTGGGAGTTCCAGGGCAGCCTGGTCTACAAAGTGAGTCCAGGACAGCCAGAGCTACACAGAGAAACCATGTCTCAAAAACAAACAAACAAACAAAAACAACAACAAAAAAACCAAAAAACTCGAGTTCGATCCCCAGGATCTACAAGTTGTCCTCTGAAATAAAGAAAAACCAAATAGCAAGGTGGCAACCACATGGTAGCCATGACTTGCAAGCTAAATTAGCCCTTTCTCTTTTAAATGTTTTATTAGAAATATTAGAATGATAATTTCATTTACCTTCTTAAGGAAGGAAACAATTATAAGTTTTTTTTTCCTTTTTAAAGAATTCAGGTTTATTTAATACACTTGCAAAGAGATCGGCAGCCTGGCAGTAGCAGATAAACTGCCCGTAGCCAGATAATCATAGTCTTTATTTGTATTTATTTATTTAAGATATATGGGTGTTTTGTTTGCACATATGCCTGCGCATTTCATGTGTGCCCGGTGTTTAGGAAGGTCAGAAGAGAGTGTGGCATCCCTTGGGACTAGAGTTACAGCTGGTTGTGAGTTCTGAGAAGTAAACCCAGGCTCTTTGGAAGAACACACAGTGCTCTGAGCTGTGGAACCAGCCCTGATAACTATAGCTTTAAAAATTGTTTTGTTGCGGGGAAAGGCTATGTTTTCTATGCATGTTGCATGCAGCAGGCTTGTGGTGGCTTCTGTAGCTATAGGAAATGACCGTCTTGGAGAACTGGGCAGTCAGCAGGTTCCTAAAAACTAGATGACCCTTCAGTTTTATTTCCAAAAGAGCGAATCTGCTGTCTGACCTATCACATCATAAGTAACCTTGATATTATTCAAGCAAAAAGCTTCCTTCACTCTCAGGAAGTTTCCTGACTGCCATTTTCTGTCTTCATTCCCTTTTAGACCTGAAAAGACAAATTTCATTCTTTAAAAAAAAAAAAAAGTAGCAAGGTGGGGGGGCGGTGAGGAAAGGATCAAAAGCCAGTGTAATTTGCCTTAGTCTCCAAGTGCCTAAACATAGGGGCAGAGGCATGCATAGCACACGTAAGCAAAAGTTGGAGGTGATCTAACAAGAGTGATCAGTACATAGATGTAACTACAGCTATCTACAAATGACAAAAACAAGTGTCTTAAAACCAGAAGAAAATAAGTGTCAGTAAATATATCATCCTTAGCAAAAACAAACAAACAAACAAACAAACCAAAAACCAACATGAGCAGAGTACACGAGGACAGAGATAGTGAGATGATAAAGAGAAGCCAGACTTGCTGTGTGGAAACACTTCACTCAGAGAACATGTCTGAAGAGGGAAATTTCTCAGAAATAGGAACACACTTTGGGTGTCTGCCAGTCACTTGATTATGCCCGAAGCAATAAGAGATCATGGCCAAGACTGATTTAAAGCATCATCTGTCCTGCTTAGATCTTTCATCCATTGACTGATTGGAAGTGTTCAGTTAGTAGTAACAGATTCTCAGATGCTAACTCTTCAGGGAAGGATTTCAGAGAACACTGGTGCCACCTTTACAATAATCAGGTGTGTTTTCTTACATAGTGTTTAAGTAGAAATACCTGGATAAAGATGAGCAGAAGCTGTCATCTTAGTGATCTAGGAGAGAAGAGTGGTAGTGTTTTGGAAAACATGGATGGTAGTACAAATACTGGTTTCTTCAAATGCTGTGTTAGTCCCGTGTGCTAGGTTGAACATGCCTTCCAAAGCGCGTGCTTCGGGATCTTGGTTCTCAGTGTGTTAACAACCGAGAGATAATGAAACCTTGAGAAGTGAGGTTAGTGGGACATTGGTGGGAGATTGGGGACACTGCCCTCAGAAGGGATTAAAGGTGTTCCCTTAGAACTCTTGTTTCCTTGGAGAGTGGGTTGTTTAAGACTAAGATCAGCTCCTCCCTGCCCTCCGGCTTCCTCTCCCATTACACAATTGTTCTCGCTGGTTGGAGCTTAGACTTGCAGTTTCCAAAAGTGTGAACTAAATAAATCTCCTTCTGTTACCACGTAACCCAGCAGAACCAGAATGCACCAAGTGCCTTAACCAGAACATTGTATCGACTCTAATAAACAGTAAGAAAAAGGAAGAGAAAAGCCCTGTTCCTTGTGTTAGGGTTCAGTTCCAATGACAGTGGATTTCTATCAATTATAGCAAACCATTTTGATTTGGGGGCTCATCATATCCCAAGACTGTGCTTCTGAGTTTTGCAGAAGGGCCACAAAAGCAACACCACCCCCTTTTTTATTTTGATATTAGTGGTTAGAACTGTTATGCACAATGGAGATTTCTAAGTAGATCCTGGATGCTTAGGGGTTGGAAAGAGTCAAACTCCCAATGGCCTTGGTGACAAAGTCTGGCCCTAATGCCAGACAACTGAGTTGGAAGCTTCATTTTGTCCTGGGGTGGAAAAGGGTTGGGAACATAACACTGCGTTCTTTAAACAGAAATGCCAGGTTTGGAGAGATAAGCTGAGTGGTTAAAGGCATGTGCCGCTCAAGCAAAGGACCCGGGTTCTGTTCCCAAGCAACCACATGTGATCTTGAAACTGCCTGTGACTCCAATTCCACAGAATCTGATGGCCCCTCAGGCATAAGACATGTGCATAGTACACATGTACACACGTAGACAAATATTTAAACATGAAATGAAGATAAATGAGTCACAGAAATGCCTGTCAATCAGAATCTCAGAATCACTAAGATCTCCAGGTACTTGACATGAAGCTTTGAAATGACAGATTAATCCTTTCCTACAAGCAGAAAGAGCTCAGAATGTGACTCACCGGGCAACTGTGGCCTGCCATGAATGGTTGTGGTATGGTGGGCAATTTATCACTGAAGAGTATGGAGGACTCTTCCATAAATAGGGTTCCATAAAAGGGGGTGCCTTCACAGGGGGTTTCACCAGGTTCGGAACATAACCAGCTCTTTATATGATGCTTCTAAGTTGTGTGTAAAACTCACCGCCACAAAAAGGACTAACAATGGTTAGTAAAAGGTCTTATATGTGTATGGCCCTTGGTTTGAGTCTTAGGGCACACACGCATGCACACATGTGATGTGTGCACACATGCACTCACAAACACACACACACATACCAGGATTAGGTCAATAATACAGAAAATGTAGTTAATTGTGATTAGTATTATAACTTAAATTAAATAATAGGAAAAGCCTGCTAGAGCTTGAGCCAATATTGAGTACAAAGTAGAAGACTTAGGGAAAATCTGACTCATCAGAATTTATAGCCAGCCAGAGATATTTGGCAATATTCATTGAAGCCAGGCACAAAGGTACACACCTGTAATTCCAGCGATCAAGAAGCTGAGACAAGGGGATTGTGATTTGTGGACAGCTTGGGAGACATAGTGACCCTGTCTCTAAAACAAAACAAAACCCATCACATGCTTCTTGCTACCTATTTATTTAGGTAGCCTTATACAAACTAGCTTGCTTCTGTTTTCTTCTCCTGAGTTAGAAATAATAATGTCTCTCTGGGAAGTTTAGTGTGAGGATTAAGAACATGTTGTTTTTGAAGTGCTTATCACAACTTTGCATATATTATTGGATTGTTTCCTCTTTCAGGCAAATTGAATAAAGCTACTATGAGCAATCAGATAAGTTTTTATGTTAAGATAAAGGTAATTGATTCTTCAGACTACTATCTCGACTACGTTATTGGGATGTTTTTGATAAACATGGCTTTTTATAAAAGGTCAAATATTGACATATCTAGTTGAATTAGCTTGGTAGTAATTTATAGCAAAAAAAGAAAAAAACCAACAACATGACAACCAGAATCTGAAATGGAATTACATAGAGATAATTAATTTGAAAAAGAAACATGATGATATAATAACATTAATGTATATTCAAAATTTATTTTTAGGTGTGCCAATATCACCTCAAAGATTACAGCCAGAAAAAGAACTACAGCTGTGGAATGAGGTGAGTTATTCTTGCAAACAGTAGCAGAACTTCCAACTTCCTTAAAATTATTACGGTAAAGTGAAACGTTGTAAGTGAACTTTGGGGGAAACTGACTTTACCAACATTGTGGTATCATAATAGTTAAGAGTGTCTTATTAAAATAGAAGTTAAAACACACCTATAATTCTAGCACTTAGGAAGCGGAGGCAGGAGGATTCTTGTAAGTTTGAGACTAAACTGAGGTACATAATGAGTTTAAAGTCAGCCTGATATATAGATATATAGATTCATACATACATGAATATTCTAAGATCCTATCTCAGAAAACACTAGAAGATAGAAGGAAAGATAAAAGGAAATAAAACAGTAAATGGTAAAAATTAGACAGCAGAAACAAGCTTTAAAGGGGGGTAATTATAATAAATGTAAACATGCTAAAATATACCACTTAAGGACATGGATTCTCATTTGTATTTGTGTTCCAGCTGTTTACAATCCAGGAATAACTATCTATTAAGACTCACACCTAAGAGCTGAAGTTACACCTTGTGGACGAATGCTTGCTTGCCCAGCATCTATGAGACCCTAGCTGAATCTCCAGTGTACCCCTTCCATCATTCACTCATACATAAAGAATCACACATAACATGGGTAGTGGTTGACGTATGGGAGGATGGAAATGATATATAAAGCAAATATGAACTGAGAGAAAAACTGGGGTGGTAGTCTTCATAGCTAATAAAATAAAATTCAGAAATGCGAGCTCTCAAAACTGACAATTAACCATTTATATACATATAAAAGATGGACAAGAAGGTGTAGCCATCATTATTAATACATACCAATGACTACCAGTGTAACAAGTCCTAGAATATCATGAGGGAAAATAAGCATTAAAGAACCAGAACATGATAGGTTAGAAAGCAAGGTTTCATACATTAGAAAAAGATCTAGTAGATTTTCCCAATTATACTGCAATACAGTAAGAAAATAGCAAATTCATGACTTAAGCATTCCATTTGTTTGGGAGGTAAGTACCATTTATGACAAATAGGCCTGGAACAGACAAGAAATTATACTTAGAATTTAATGACAAAAACATTGTAAATCCAAATTTGCAGGCTATAGCTGAGACGGCAGAGAACATTATGCTTCATTATAAAAGCTCAAAAGTATAAGCTGCTTGCAAGGCTATCTGTGTTCCACAAGATGGACTTTCATCTATGCACATGCTGGCAGCACTGGAAGAGCACATGAGTTTGGGAGGGAAAAGGGTTAGGAGGTGGGGGATGGGAGGGAATGCAGTAG